TGTACATCATTTCATTTATAGGCTCTATTCTATTATAAAGCCACGTCCGGTTCTTTCAACCAGGAACTCAGAGAGATGAAGCGGACCACTTGAGTATATAAAAAAATATAACCGTGCTGGTTTATTCAAAGGGTCACAGGCAAGAATTAACATTACACGTCCAGGCATCTTCCACCCCCAAAACTGCGCGCAGGCAGCCCGGAAGATGAAAAGACCCCGAACCTAATAGCCTATACAATTTAATCACTTCGTTGGGCTAGCCCCATCCTACACAGGCCACGTCAAACTGTGACGTCACCTGATATGCCAGCTTGGCAGCTGACCAGAGCAGTAGTCAAAACATGAAGAAAATAATGTGTGTGAATGTTGATTATGTGGTGTGTATCTAAAAACATACAGGACATTCAGGGACATGTCCGAACAGTAAGCCTCGGAAGATATTATGATTAAGATTACGGCTGAGCATAGCAATAATAATAGCAATATTCATCCTGCCTGCAGACTCTTCAATCTAGTTGACCTTGGGGCCCACATGCAGCCTGCAGCAAGCTCATGACAATGAACTAAGCATTTACCAGCCTGAGCTAGACATTCTGTCTACCCTACACATTTCTAGACAACAAATCTCTAAATATCTACCCAACTAAGAAAATACCTAACACATTACACCCGTGAATCTCTAATTTACATCGGGGCAATTCCACAACAGGTTATCTCAGGTGCTTTTCAGCAGATCCACGGGATGCCAGTGGAGATCACCAGAGCACCAGGGTCCCCGTGGATTACCATACCTGGCAGCAGACATTGGACAGGGAGAAAAATGAGGATGTAGGGCTGGTGTGCTAGCGTGGTGAAGGAGGAATCTTCACAGACCACTGCTCCCTAGTCTTTTTGTCTCCAACGCAAGGTCTCTTAATAACAAATGGATGAGCTAAGACTTTATCATCATGTTATAAGCTATTATTTCTCTGTAGCTTCTTCCGGTTCTTTCAAACCAGGAACTCTCAATGAGACGAAGTAGACTGCTTTAGATTTTATAAAAAATAACCGTGCTGGTTTATTCAGAGGATCACAGGTAAAATTCACATTACACGTCCAAATCTCTCTCACCCCTCTACCTGCGCGCAGGCAGCAGAAAGGCTCAAGAAACCCCGACCCAAGCATTGCTATACAATATTAATCCTTTCTGGGCTGTCAAACCGTGACGTCACCCGATAAGCAAGCCTTGCAGCTGCTATAACGTTTAGCCAAAACATGAGGAAAAGTCAAGGTGTGTGACTGTTGTTTTCGTGGTGTGTATCTAAAACAATTGGACATAACCTTACACATTAAGACAAATATTAAGACTAGCATTACAGTTGACCCTAACAGCTCTTTTCCTGTAACCTTGACGTGCCTGCAGTCTGCACTGCAGGCTGAACAGTTAACAGCCTGAGCTAGTCAACCTGTCTGCACTAACATTTCTAGACAACAAATCTCTGAATATCTATCTAACTAGGAAATAACCTAACAATGTTCAACCATCCAAGAAATTTGTGTGATTGTTAGAATCTAACCTCTTTTTGTCAGAAATTAACCCAATTCTTTTGTTGTAAAGGCTCTATTCTATTATAAAGCCTCGTCCGGTTCTTTCAAACCAGGAGCTCAGAGGGACGACTCAGACCACTTGATTATATAAAAAAATATATCCGTGCTGGTTTATTCAAAGAGGCACAGGCAAGAATTAACACTTCAAGTCCAGAGATCTTCCACCCCCAGGCTGCCCAAGCAGCCAGGAAGCAGAAAAGCCCCCGAACCAAGCATTGCTATACAATATTAATCATTTCTGGGCTGTCGAACCGTGACGTCACCCGATAAGCAAGCC